AGGTCGTGCTTCGGTACGAAATGGAAATAGATGTTGCGCGGATCAGTCTTCTACATCAGTGAGTCAACAGATGAATACCAGAATAACGCCTAATGAAATTGAACTTGCTGTTCTTTGTCCCACATCTCCAATCACAACTAACCCACATTTAGACACGAAAGTATGTAAATGTTTTTTTGTAATGTATATAAACATAAGCTTATATTTGAATAGACAATTCTATGAAAAATATCATTGCAGGGTGGCAAATCTAATGGAATTCTTGAATCTTGTGTAAAAGAGCCTTTATTACCATCATGGGAAATAAATGGTGAACCGAAAGATATTCATATAACAAAAAATTCTCAGGTGCGAAAAATTTTCATTTTGAATAATACAAAATGATTAAATAATTTTTTATATGAAACTAATATATGTCTTGAAATATAGTACAAAACAATGGACAGTGTTGTCTTAAGTACACAAAAACAAGAACAAGAGCCAGAACAAGATTTAGATGGCACACAGCTTACGGTGGTCAATTGTACTTTAGGCAGTAGCAATAGCAGTTTAAATAATAATTCTGGTTGTCCAGATGGAGATACGTCCTTACCAAAACCTATATGTATATCTGTTCCGGCGCTTGGACCAAATGGATGAAACCATTAGGCAATATATTTGCGTGTTCACATTTTCTTCCTATGCTTCCGTGCAACAGGTAGGATGTAAAACTTTTCGTGCATCTCGAATAATTTGATTGCAAGATGTATATACACACAAAAGTACATACATATGTATGTATGAATTACAAGAACAGAATTCTCAAGGAAGTTAGAAGCAATGCAAGTTACTATATTTTACAAGTTTAACATGGCATAACTTGTGAATAAAAATACTAATGCATACATGATTAATGTAAATAATAATGTTTTGAAAGTGCGTTGAATCTGGACACTTCAACTATTATCTTGTATATAATGTTTGAAAGCAAGTTATTATCGATAACACAGTATTTCTGCATTAGCAGTTCGGCAAGGAATCTAGTAATTTTTAGATTTCATTTTGTATGAAATAATACCGTGGCACAGATATATCATGCAAATGATACTTAATAATATTCATTAGGTAACTTGCTCATATGTATATTGACATCTATTAAGAAGAGTATGAAAATGAAAATTAAAAAAGAAGAGTATGAAAATGAAAATTAAGCAAGTGGGATGATATGAAAATTCTTGATGTGCACCTGGGTGTCTGTTAATTATGAGTATGTTCATAAAATATCATATTTCGAATAATAGTGAAAAAGTAAATAATGCATTCCTTCACACTAGAAGACAAAATTATTAAATATCCAAATTACGGGTATGGCCTAATTTATTTCATGATATATATTGCTTTTATAGAGAGCAATAGTACTGATCATTCCAAAATCTTATGTTTTCCATTAACTAAATCTAAATTAACAAGAGATGGTTCTTAGGTTCTAAGAAATTAAGAAAAAGTACTATATAATCAGATTTTATGTATTAAAAGTATAGTCTAGGTTTTTCTTTTATTACAAATACTGTAAGTATACATATAGCATCGCAAATCTTGGCAAATATTTATTTTATTGAAAAATAAGACGTTGACAAACATTTTTAAAAAGTGTAACTGAAATGTCCATATTATATAATTTAGCAGAATCTTTTTTATACTACAAGTTTGATAACTGTATTATACACTATTGAGACATTTGAGAACAGGAAAAAATAATAATGAAATTTGTAAAAACAGCATTAAGATTTTGTAATATAAAAGAAATCTACAAAAAGAATCGAAACAATTTTAAATCATAATATTAATTTAATCACTGAAAATGTATAATATAATATATGTATTTTTTCCTGTTCATATGATAAAAGAAATCTTATGTTGTACAAGATATTTAAAGTTAACTACATCATACAAAAGCAAAAAGTGAAAAATGCGAAAGAAAATTATAAACATATTCCAGACTGGTGCATGTTACCATGACAGAAAAACCCAACACAGTACCTGATAGAATAAGCTATATCTTTTAGAGTGAGACGTAGATATGTCATGTTATTATTGTACCTCCATTAATTGTTATTTATTACATTTTACATTCAGTACTATTTTAAATGATCACATTACACTGAATTTATGCAATAATATAGTCACTACAAGCACAGTATGAAATCATGTAAAAATAGAATTAATTCAATCTGCACATGCTAGAGATTTTACCATATATTTATTACACAGAGTTTTACATCTTTGTACGAGATAATTTGTTAAACATATAATTTAAAGTCATTTTTGAAAAAATTATTCTGCCTTGTGTTGAAATGATGTTGCTATTAATAGAGATTTTTTATATTGTATATTCTATAACTAAACTTTTTTGAATACAACTCATGATTTACCTATTTTTATGAAAACTCAGTACTAGTGGATTACTAAAAAATTTCACAAGATCTGATTGCAGTTTTATGAAAATAAGTAACTTCATTTAAACACTATTTATGAAATTCGTTACATATTCTACGATCACGATTATTAGAATCTCAATTAAAGATAAACTATCATAGCTATTTACTGACTTGACAGTTCTACAACAAATTATGTTTGTTATGAAACATAAACATTTCACAGATAGAATACCTGTTTTGTGATTTTTATTTAAATGATTTGTTTTCCATTTGTTATCATATTTAACACGACCTGTTACATTTTATGTTACTGACATATAGTAGTATACTTTTATATTTGTTGAAGGTATTTGTTACTCTTCTTAGAGTTAAATAAGAAATGAGAATTGATATATAATAGTAGGCAACTAGTAACTGATCGCTCATGAATTCATTTTTCTTTTTGCATTAAAATTCTTAAAATATTTTTAAATATTTTTTGCACTGTATGTATATGTTAATTATTAAGCTTGTACAATTTTCTAACATTAATGGAATTTTAAAAAAAGAACAAAAAAATAGTTGTAAAGAAAAAGGTATTATTTTTAAGGGAAGAAAAGATAGATCAAAAGCATTAATAAAGAAAAAGAGATATAATAATTAATATGGCGACAAAATATTCCATGGCAAATATTACGCATTTGTCATTTTAAAAAATGTTTTGATTTTATTGTATACAAATCTTAACTAATGTTTATAGAATTAAATTGTATTTTGATCATTTTACTTTTTAGCAGCATAATGTACTGTATTTGTTAAGCGCGATATTGTTCTGTCTGCTATGAACGTAATTTTAATATAAAAAATCATTTATTTGCGTTAATTTGTACCTTATATAAAAAGTTTTCAATTTATAAGACAACATTCGTAAATTTGAAATGGATTGAAACGTATGGTGTTGAATTGGTATCATAATATCTTTGATTAATTGTGTGAATGTGATAAGTTTCAAGCTTTGTAAAAAAGAAAAAAGAGAAAGCAAAAAATAGAGTCGCCGTGCTGTTATCTGAGCGTTTTATTTGCTTCAAAAGATTGATTACACAGTATTGAAATACAAAGCAATAAACATTGTTATCTTTAGGCTACAAATAGGAAACAGCAAGTATTGTAAATGTTACATTTAGAGTATAACGATTTATATGGAAGAAAAATATTAGAATTGAGGCTATTTTGATTACAATTTAAAAAAAAGTATTTGTTTATCTTATAAATTATTATATACTTTGATTTAGAAATATCGTAATCTATTACTTTACTGCATTATGCTAAGCAATGTTTCGGATATGCATAAGGTATTATTCATACTACTTTTGTCATTTATGCATCAAATTTAATTTTCTATTATATCATTTGAACTTGTACCTTTACTAAATGATAAGGAGCATAGTACATATTATTTCATTTCACTTGCAATAGTTCTTTCACAAAGTAACAATCCAATAGTATTGGCCATACACAGACAAAGTATTAATTATGTTGTACGGCGACTCTAGTCAAGTAAATATACCTCCATAATTGCCACCCTATACAAGGGGTAGGTATGTTATATTACTTAATTTTAACTTAACCTCAGTACCTATTACACAGCACTATAATTTAGATTTACACGATTTACCTCAAAAAATTTATTACAGTGAGTAGATATAGCCAAGACATTATACTTTATTTTATATAAGATATATATGAAAAAGCAAACCCGGTAAAAGAAATTTGATATTTGTATCATTGCCGTTAATTATAGCACTTATTCTATATCGAGAAAACTTTATTAATTTATTTTTTCATAAATCCTTATCATTTTTTTACTGGAACATACACGATTAATGTATTGCTATAATTATGCTGTTTTTTAGGGTGCAGTTACTTTGTAAATATTTTTATCTACGATTGTATATATATTATCTGCAGAAAATATTAAAAGTATATATTTTAATATATTATGTATAATGAACTACATCAAATTATAATCTTATTGTTTAAAGTATTAAAACGATACACGAAATATTTAATGATATTGTTGACCCTTCTGATGCAGTATCTTGTTGTAACCAATGATTGAAATAAAATTAAAACAGTGTATCGATGTTGGTTGTGTTAAAATATATGTAAAAAATAATGCCTAACCCTAGAAAAACATTCAGTTACGAAGAACTGCGAAGGTACAGGTAAAACAAGTGAATAAATGCGTAAATGAGTAACTTTATTATCAAATTAATAACAATTGCTTCAGAATAGTAATGCTATTAATTTTACTTGGCAGTTATTGCCATTTTATTATATATTATTTTGTGTAAAAATTATGTTTACCTTTATATAATAAACTTACTAATTTTTTTGTTTGGCGTTTAGAAATATTTTCTAACTTAATTAATATTATTTGTACTTGATTTAATACATTATATAATTTAAATATATCTAATTTATTAAATTTATATAACCATAAGATATCATTTATTTGGAATAAAAAGATTTCTAAGTTATGAGTCACAGCTTTTGGAAGATACACGTTAAGTGGAATGCAATGGATATAAAAACACAAAATCCTTCTACTTCTATAGATCTCGTTAAGTGTTTAACAGTTTTTATTTATACTCCCAGTCTTGAAAAATTCAGTATAAAAAGCATTTTGGCGATGTACATAATTCTCTAAAATATTTATCCAAATAACATTACATGTTATAATATATCGTGTTTAGGCATGTAAATAGTCTAGTTTTATTCTTCAATATTTTTCAACTTAGTTCTTCCTATAATGTCGAAACTGACTAGCAACCCTAAGGTGCAAAAATTTTATACTCAAACTATAGTAAAATTAAGTACATTAATTGCTACTTTATCACATTTGCAATAGGCTTATACATGAAATCTTCATATTCCATCTGTACTTTTTTATAAACTTGACTAACAATATTTGTTAGAAGATAAAATACGAGTAAGGTGTGTAACATACAATAGAGTATGTAACTTGCATAGATTACTAGGCACAAGGTGAAACGCTCCAAATGTTATTTCATACAAATTATTGTAAGCTTTTTCAATATTTGATCTTGGCAGTCTATATTGTTAAAATTCATAGAATCAAGGAATGTGGAAATATCTTCATGTTTACATAATCATCAAGAACCTATAAATAAATAATTGACATAATACCTTCCTCATCAGAATTTATGTTCTCTTAGTCACATAAATAATTATTTACCTCTTTCAAAGCATCTTTTGTGAGTTTTGGATAAAGATATGTAAACCCAATACTCGATAATTTTCCTGCCTGTAAATACAAATGCTTATTATAAAGAAGTTCTTGATCTATGTATGGAGACAGAGGACTATTTTCCACTCCATCTTTATTGCAAGCTTCTGCCCAGGGTCCCATATGTTTGTCATTGACTTCTTCAACAACAGAACTCATATCTGTCTAAAATAAATAAACAAAATAAGGTTTTTAATCCACATCAGAATTAAAACTTGCATTATAGTTCAAAAAAATTATATCTGAATTTCTTAGTAGTAAGAGAAAAAAATAGTGTAACAAATTTTCTTCCATACTTTGGCTAGTGTAGAAAGTGCAGTACCCCAATAATCATGATTGATATTAAATAATTCTGAAACTATAGCACTGATTGATCCTTGAGTTGAGTCACCTTCATCAACAACGTTATATGTTTGACCTACAGTTTCTGGCCTATTTACTACGTGCCAAATAGCCCTGGCTACATCCCTCACATGAACTGTGTTCATGTGAAGATCTGGTCCCCAAAGTAATTTCATCATTTCTCCCAAATGTTTATAAACAGCTCCTACCACTAAACGTGGTGCTACATAGGGGAAATTAATTTACATATATAAAATATTTGTTACATATATAAAATATACATATATCTCTATTAGGCAATAAATTATTATTACCTAATCCATTTCTATCACCACAGCCATATACTATGGCTGGTCTAAGGATTGTAAAGTTTAAATTTGGTATGATTTTTAAATCATTCTCTACTTGTAACTTATACTTTGCAACAAATGTCCATGGTTCTCCAGCATCTTCTTCTTTGAGAGAATTCTATGAAAATATTACAGATTACTAATCTTTGTAATAGATTGTTTAATACAAAAATATCAAAGTTCACATACTTTGTCAGAGGTACTAAAATTACCAGAAGATATTTCTACATAACGATCAACTTGTAATTTTGCAGCTTGTTGAGCACAATTCATACTCAACTTATAAATTCCTTCTTTATATACAGGATCTGTTTGACTGCTCTTTGTTTCTCCAGCACAATTGATTACAAAATTAATCGGATTGTCAGATAAAAATGCATTTTGACAAGATACTACAAATAAATATTCAAACGCTAATCATAAAGTACATGTTCAACAAAACAATTATTATCGTAATTGTTTCATTGAAAATAGATAAGCGCCCTTATCAAACTTTAAATTACCAGTGTTGATTAAATTTGCGCTCTTAAATTCGAGCAAAGGATGCTCGAATAATTGCTGATGTTTAGTATTCAGCCAAGCAGTTTGCGGCGGCACTTTATCCACTACACGTATAAAGGACACAAGATCGTTATCCAGTAGATATTCCACGAGATTACGTCCTATGAAACCGCATCCTGTTTCAACGATAAAACTTCTTTTTAGTTGTTTTGTTTGTCACTTCCGCTATATGCTATCATATGAAGTAGAATATGCTCACCTCCTAAAATTATTACTCTTGGCTTTTTATTAGAATCAGACGTTGCCATAATTATTTGTCATTTAAATCCGTTATTCCTTTGTTAAGTTTCGTCCACTTTTGTCAAAGTAAGAAGAACGTTATGCGTTATGACACTTCATAAAAAGACTTCAGTTAGCGATATGGTTATCAAATTACTGTGCGACCAGCCTTCACCTAACCTCAAAAATATGCCGCAAATAAATGTGTTACCACTACCACCGTTCTATACCGATGCCTTTCGTCAGAATCATCGATGCTGAATGTAGTTTTTGATTGCCTTAAGTTAGAGGAAGACAGAATCATGAGGTACCGTTCACTGACGATTCTCGGTTGCAGTTTAAAAGTGCCTTCTCCCAAATCGCGCATCAATCACTAACAAGCAAAATATGAAGAATACCTACCGAAAAACGAGATTATGAATGATCAATATGCTACTGGCCGAGTTTCAAAACTGATGCAAACGCGGTCGATAGAGATACTTCTCTACCTTATCGATAGAGCGATGATGTATAAATTATAAGATTCATCTAATAATTTTTATAAATTTAAAAACATATTTTTCTTATAAACTTATAACATAATGATGTATATATATACATATTATAATTATTGTTTTCATATAACACAATATACACATTTTTTAAATGGACTTTGTGAGTTTTGTTTTTCCCTCTTAACTTATATTAGATAACGTATTGAATAGTTCATATCTTTATTTTGTACGTCTCCTACGTTTTATAAGAGATAATAAAATTCAAATTGCAAAAACACCAAGCGCACCAACTTTTTATCAGCGTGGTAATTCTATTGTGATCCATTAGTTCATGATTAATCTGCGGTGCATCTGGCATGTAGCTTTGCAACTCCTTAATCTTAGTTGATTTTTACCAATTTTTGCGAACGATATTGCATCCAAGGTGTATTCAAAACTAAAAAATTTGCTTGCTCATTCTTGAAGCTAAATGTAATAACTCGAAAGTGACTAAAATCGAAATGTTCTAGTGGTTAAAATATGACATAAATCCATGGTGTGTGCGTTCCGACATAAACGTGGGAGAGGAGAGGAAGAGAGATGTGTTGGTGGATGAATTACTACAATTTGCTTAATAGCTAATAGACTCAACTTCTTTATTTTTCTTTTTTTAATTTGTTACGGTTTCGACGTACTCATTCGGGAAAGATGGTGCCGTAGAAAGTCATATTCGAGAAAGAGACATGCACGATGGTGTGGATTACGTAGAAATAACCCAGATGTGACGGCTAAGCGCGAATCCCGGACCTTGCGCACCAAAGTCCGGCGCTTTAGCCACGGTCGTGAACACCGTGCGTCTAGACTTTAAAAATTTCTGGTATGCTTTTTACGATCTGTTCACGATGTCCTTATATGCGACGATACTGCCATATCTCATCCTAGGATTGTTAGGTAATTGCTTGTTCCCATTATCTTTCGTTTGACAGTTGCATCCGCGAGTTAAAATACCAACTGACGTGATATTTTCCAGGGTTCATAATACTATTTCCTTTCACCGAATGCATTTCGAACTGTTACTAAATTTTATGCGCTTTTATGGACCGATATTATACATATGTTTTATTTTTATGATATGTTTTATGTAGTTTATTATCATATATGCATTTAATCGAATGACAAGTATCCAGTTTAAACTCTTCATTTCCTTTTGTTTTTTAGTACAACCTCTAACAGGAGATTTTGATTGAATGTAATAATATGAAATCAACTAGACATTTATTTATTGTATATTCGTGAAACAAATAAAAGAGTAAAGCTGTATTTAGGTATAAGAAAATAACATAAATTTTTTGCAATTATGAGTAATGTTCTTTTTTTTTTATTAAATTTACATAACATTATTAACGTTTCTGCAACTGTCAATTTTTGACACCATTATACAAAGTATTAGTTTTCTTTCAATGTTAAAAATGTGTGAAAAAATTTTTTATTTTTAGGATTTACATTAGGACATGATGTCAAGGGTTCATCAGTTTGTGAATTTTATAATGAAACAATTTGTGCAGAATCCCAGCAGGAATGCTCGGGAAGAGAAGAATGTGGGCCACATGATCCTGGCAAAAGAAATCACTGTTATGTGCTATGGAAAATTGACAATGTTACTAAGAAATCTATAATTAAATTAAAGGTAAACAGAAGACATATATGTATAGTTATATTTTTTACTAGTTTTTTTGCAATTGTTTGTTTTATCCTTAACTGAATTTTCAGGGATGTTTTTTGGATAGTAATGATTGCTATGATAGGCCACATTGTATTGAAAACAGTGCAGAAAGAAAAAAGGAATTATTTTTTTGTTGTTGTGATGGTAACATGTGCAATCAGAATTTCACATGGGATCCACATCCAACTTCTTCTTCTAAACCTATTCAACCATCTGTTTTTCATGGTGGATACATACTTTAAATAATATACCATATTAATTGAAATATTATATGATTATATATATATATACATAATTATGTTTCAGAATCAGAACCTGTTCCAAACACAGAGCAACAAATAATAATACTTGTTTTATCAATATTGATACCTATGCTACTATTTGCTATTGTATCGCCATTATTATATTGGTGTTACCGACGTCGGAAGTCGGGATATTTCAACGAGGTTTGGAAGGCATATGTACAGATCTCTTAATTACTTAATGTTATAAATCTTTTGTTTACGTACTAAATTGCAAACTATCCTTATTGTATGAGTATTACATAAAATGATTTTTGTAGGTACCAACACTAGAACCTCTGCCACTGCCGCAACCGTCTCCTAATTTGGGATTGCGGCCGATACAATTGCTTGAAATAAAAGCTCGTGGTCGTTTTGGAGCGGTATGGAAAGCACAATTGAAAAATGAGATTGTTGCTGTTAAAGTATTTCCAATACAAGATAAGCAATCGTGGCAAACTGAACAAGAAATTTTCAAACTTGCCCACATGGATCATGAAGATATATTACGTTTCATAGGCGTTGAAAAAAGAGGTGATAATTTACAAGCTGAATTTTGGCTAATCACTGCATACCATGAAAAAGGTTCACTATGTGATTATTTAAAGGCAAATGTTGTTACATGGCCTGAGATGTGTAGAATAGCAGAATCTATGGCAAGGTAATGTTTTAGTATGAGTTTAAGCAATATTTCAAATAATCTTCTTTAAAATTTTAATTTATTAGGGGTTTGATGCACTTGCATGAAGAAATTCCAGCCAATAAAGCAGATGGATACAAACCTGCTGTGGCTCATAGAGATTTTAAGTCAAAAAATGTTTTGCTTAAAGCTGATATGAGTGCTTGTATAGCAGATTTTGGTTTAGCATTGATATTTCATCCTGGGAAACCTTGTGGAGATACTCATGGACAGGTATATATATCTCATATGCATACATTTATTATAACATGTAAAGTTCAACATATTTGTTGTCATTTGAAGGTTGGAACAAGAAGGTATATGGCTCCAGAAGTTTTGGAGGGAGCAATTAATTTTACAAGAGATTCATTTTTACGAATCGATATGTATGCTTGTGGTCTGGTGCTCTGGGAGTTAGCTTCACGATGCACTGTACAAGATGTAAATTCTTATTTACATATATATTGATTCATTAATTATTGTATTATTGATTACTAAGTTGTGTTATGTCTATTTGTTTCAGGGACCAATTGGGGAATATAGATTACCATTTGAGGATGAAGTAGGTCTTCATCCCACTTTGGAAGATATGCAAGAAAGTGTCGTGCATAAAAAAGAAAGGCCAATCATTTTAGAAACATGGCGTAAACATCCTGTAAGTAAATTTTAGTACATAATGTTGTAAGCAGCTGATTTTTACTAAATTTTTCATTCCTTTTTAAGGGACTGCAATCAATTTGTGATACAATGGAAGAGTGCTGGGATCATGATGCCGAAGCACGTCTTTCAGCTTCTTGTGTAATGGAAAGGGTTGCCACATTGAGTAGGACGCTTGTTTTAAATTCGTCAACGTTGATACGAGTTGATAATACCAACGAGACTATTAACACTAAGGAATCTAGTATGTAGTTAATCTACATGTATTATAGTTTTAGTTAAATTGCACAACCATTTTCTGTATCATAATTTTATGCATACATCAATGAGGAATGTTAAAATATTGCATGCTATTTTGTAATGATTATTTTTTATCTTTTTATTGGTTTTTTTCTTTTGTTTTAAATTAAAATAAGTCTTATCCCATTTGCATCCAAGCGCGGATTAATCCGCGCGCTGCGACTGTCTTCTATCACCAAGGTAGACCACTGCTTTTTTTTATTTTCACTTTAATCTAAATAGTTTTATTTTAAATAAATAATTTTTACTTTTTTCCTCTGTTATAAAGAAGTAACATTTGCGAAGTAACATTGTCTACCAATCGTTTTGAACAATCGTTTGGTAAACTTCATGAAGAATTCGGATATCATTTACTGCACCTACGACTGACCGCGCGCGGTGATAGGAACCAGTCCTCTTAAGTATGCCATGATGCAAATGGGTTAATGTTTTAAAGTAACGTAAATCATCGCGAATAAAATTGTTTTCGTTAATTAGATACTACAGTATCAAGTAGAAACATTTTTACGAAAATAACTTTTTTAAATAATCGTTATTTATTAAATGTAATTATTGTCTCAATGTAGTACTCATCTCTGGATTACTTGTATATAAATCATTCGCGTATATATATATATATATATCACTAAAATTTTATAATTAATATAGTTTATTAAATATTAGTAACTATTTTATATAAAAATTTGAAATCAATTGAATCAATTCTTCATTCGTATTGTATACGTAAAACTAGGAATCTACGATGAGAAACAAAAACTTCATTGCTAAATTTACATTTCACTTATAAATCTCATTTAAGTAAAAATTACAATGCAATTAGAAATACTTCTTTATATGTACAGTATTAATGATAAACATAAATGTTGAGATTTTTATCCTTTAGTTTTTGCCGAAATGAGTTCGAAGTTATTGTATCAAATGATAAAATACATACTATTAATATCTTTTTGTTTGTTTATGCAGTTGTATTCCTCATTGATATTAGCAATCGCGCAGTAATAGGTCAGAGATAACAAAATGAATTAAACACTAGCCAAGATGATATTCAATGCATAATTTTTATCTGTAAAGTCTTATCATATGTGAATTGTTACAAAGATAACTCAACAATTTTATACAAAGTACCTGGTAGAAACAGTCAACTTAACTGATTGGAAGCCATGAGGAATTTATTAGAACTTCTGCACGAGGTAGATGACTATTTTAATTATTTTGCATTTTAAAGAGTATAATATTTAAGGTGACTAATTTATTTCGCAAAATAAGATTTTTTCCA